TACCTCAATATCAGGAAAACCAAAATCATATGCTTTGACCTCCAACAACCCCTGACCACTGCTCCTTAGTCTCTGATTTCAACTTTTTCCTTGTCAATGTCTCTGGTGGAACTAACAAGTTCATAATTGTTGTACCTTTAACTGAGCTCCAGACCCCACACCTTATCCACAATTACAGCTAATTAGTTCTGCAATAATATTTGCCTGTCTCTTGCCTCATTCATGCTGTACTCTCCTGTAAATTGACTACTTGCCTTACTTTACTACTTGTTGGTTCAAGTCTTAGTTCAAAACTTAGACATGCAGTCTAGGCTGAAAGAAAGAGCTGCCCTTTTGGAGATGTCACCTTTAGAACAGAAATTAAATGGAGGCCCTATCTGAATGCACAGGGGATGTGAAAGATCCCATGGTATGAATCAAAGAACAACTGGGTTCTCCTGTGATTCTGGTTCACTTTTATCCCTAAGCAATACCATCAAAAAAAGATTAATTGGATCTTTACCTCATTATTATTGTGGGACCTTTGTTGTGCATAAGTTGCTCTTATATTTACCTACATTCCAATTGATAACTCAAACTCACCCTGTTGGTTGTGAAGCATTGACATTATGAGGAAAGGGACCAAGTGAATGTAAGTCTTTCTTCTTTCTCATTACGATGCAATCTTCATGTCACGTCCACCCTCCACTAGTCAAAAACTCCACTTGTCCAAAGTTCTGTCACACATAACCAGTTCCCCACAACATCTTGTCTCTTCCTCCTGTCAGTGTGAACTGCTATTGAAACTCTTGTCCATACTTTTGTTGCTTCCTGACTTGACTATTTCAGTGTTCTTTGTCTGTCTCCCATGGTTCCTCCAGGTTTTTGGTTATTGCTGTCTCAATATCACCACCTCTACAAAGCTCTATGAACTCAGTGTTCCTCCATTTCTTGTCCCTTCAAAGTAGAGAAAGGGTGATTTCACTCATCAAGCTGATTTTAATGCAGCTCATTGTGGCAGGAATCTTGGGAGTCTTGCACCAGGCTCCCCTGATAAAGTCAGAGGATGGAAGGAGCTGACACAGTGTTCATGACAGCATCAGTCTCCATCACTTAGGCTCATGAAGAAGCCACTTGTCATCCATTATCTAGAGATCACTGGAATTTAGTGATGGTTAAGAGACTAAGTGACATACTGTGATCCCTCAAAAGGCAGCCCAGTAAACTCTTTCAAGTTTTCCATTATCCTTCTGTGGTATTGGATCCCTCGTAACCAGGCACTGTATGCTGGATCGGAGCAGGAGTGGGGTTCCTATGTAAATCACTGCCCTCACCCTGACTCTGAAACCTCACCATGCTGTGAGTTCCATCCCTCCTTCACAACTTCGCTCACCTTTGGCCTGGTGTCCCTTTATCAACCTGGACCTGTGGAGGGTCCATAGCTGTCAACTGTCACTGGAGGTGACGAATACCTTCCAGCCTCTGATTGGCGATCAGTTGTCAGTGGGCGCAACCTCCACTGCCAGACACCTCAATCACAGTAAAAGTCTGGTGGTAGTGAGGGTTGACAGGACTTCCTCATGAAGACCTAGTGAGGGGCTTGCCACTGAAAGTTACCCTCTGTCTTTACAACTGATGCACCTCCTGTGATCTGCACCCCACTCTCACTGACCTTTGGTCACAGTTCGCACAATGATTCTGGATTTTGGATGGATGCATTGCCACAAGCTGCCACTAATCCCACTGGCCCTTGGAGCATGAAGAGCAGCTGGTAGCTCTTGGAGAGTGTGGTCGTTTGGCACCAGGATCCTCAGTCTTGAGGATGGCCTGACAATAGGCACTTAAGTGCAAGAATGGAACATGATTTCATTGATCCTCTCCCAAAGAACTGATGGGAATTCCCTGCTGATTTTCTGACCAGTGGGTAAGACCCTTGTCAGCCTGACAGAATCCCACCTACTGTGTCATGATGTCCTTGTAAGAGTTATTCAGTAATTTTTCCATTTGCCTTGATTAAAATTATGTGTTTATTGAAAATCCCCTTGGAAGTCACTTCTGAATCTGCTTCCTCCATCCTTGTGGTGAGTTAGTTTCCTGGTCGTATCATCTTTCAGCATTAAAAAATTATGTTTCTCACCTTGTCTTTGGTTTTTTTTTGCCACTTATCTTAAATCTGTGTCCTTTGTTATTGATCATTTTGCCACGGGAAATGCTGGGCAGAATCTTTCAGGGGTCTGAGTAATTTGGGCCTTGGTAAGTTTTGTGGAAGAATTACTTGAGAAGTCTAGTGAAGCCTAACTCAACATTGGGAGTACCTTAGTCCATCTTCTACGTTTTTGACAAGTGGGCGAGGAGGGTTTCTCACGAGGCAGCAGCGAATTGCCAATTAAGGAAGTTTATAACTTGTTAAGTACCTTGTTAATGGCCCAACACACTTCATTAATGTTCAGTTGCAATCTTACCAAGTGCACCAAACAAGCTAGATGTTGAGAAATCTCAACATGGAAATCAGAGCAGATACTCAGCGACTTCTTCTCACCACTTGCTCCAAAGACCTTCCATCTTGGACACTAGGCACCACCCGAGAGCACACTCATTGGGCACTGGCCACAATACCCAATATCGGCATCTCGTATGTGCTGGCCTCTAAAACCCTCATGGCACATTTCCAATCCATTTAATGTAGGCTTCTGCACTTCATTCCTACACCTTGGGCTGTATCAGGAACAATCATTTTAGTGCTGAAGCAAGGACACAGCATGCTCAGGGACATGCGCCCAGCTCATGGACTGGACCAGACTTGCTGTTTGCTTGCTGTTGGAGTGCTCACTGGAGCACTGAGTTTACCTGGATGCTCACAGTCCCAGTTGTCTTGTACTGTTCTAGCAGTTTATCAGCACACCAGTGTAGTGACCAGAATTGAGCACAATATTCCAGCCAAGATCTAATCAGCATTCTTAGAAAGGTTTAGCCTAACTTCACTGTTTTTGCCCTCTTTACCTTCAGTGATAAAGCCAAGGATTCTAGCTGCTTTATAAAAAGCTTCCACAGCTTCTTGAGACAATGTTAAAGATTTGCATATGTACAACCCCAAATTTCTATATTACTGTAGCCCTTTTCTAGACAAAAGCACAAAAGGTCATTCAATCTTTCCAGACACTTATAACCACTCAAGTTCCAGTATCATCCTTGCAAATCCTTTTCGCAGTTCCCTGCCTTCATAACCTCGTTACAATAGGTGGATCTGAAAAGTGCATACTACTCCAAAAGTGGATTTGCCAAGCTTCTATACAAGCTTAACATAATGCACAAAGAAATTGATCTAAGCCCTATGAATGGATCATTTAGCTTTAGAAAACCCTTGATGCACATATGCAGAATGTTGTTAGAATTCTAACTGCGTCCATTACATGAATTTGCTTCCACTTGTAATGACCATCATTCTATGTAATCTACTTTTAAAGCAGTCTGATCATTTGCACATTACTTCTCTGAGTTCTCAGTGTTACTTTCTTCTGACATTTAAATTCAAAAATTGCTGCTCAACTTTTCATATTCTCTGTATTCTCACTGTTTTAAAATCCAATCCCATCACTATGTTCCTCATTCAAATTCATTATCATTTAGGGCCTTGAAATTGTGGAATTCTATATTTCTTCTTCCTTCTACTGTTGCAGTATTAGGTTGGCATAAATATTGCCTTTTTTTTATTTATTATGTCATTTCTGCTACTCCTTTCACTTCAGTGGGACTGTACATAATAAACCATAGTCCTTCACCATGGATTGAATCCAGTTATAGAATTGAAGCATTTTTGTCTGTAGTGCATTATTCATTGGATGCTTTCTTTTCAATGCTAGCTGCTTTTTTCAAGTTACAGGGAATATGCATTGCAATTTGGTTAGTATTCATGGGTCAAGATGAGGCAGGGACATGTGTGGTTAAGGAAACAAAAGCAGAACATGTTGGAAGCAATCAGCAAATCAGGCACACCATCTGTGGAGAGACATAACAAGTTGATATTTCAGGCATAACCTTCACTTCAGTACGACTCGTGCAGTCTTTGTCATTTCTTTCCATCTTTGCAAAATAATCTGCTCACAGGCTACTAAACCCAATTCATTGCCTGTTTGTTTTAGCCATCAACCTATATGTACACTTGGAAGTATCTTCATGTATTTCTGTTTCGTCTTTAATTATATCCTTTATTCATTATTTTGGTTTTCCCAGGTTGCATAACTTTTCTTTCCCTCCTTTTCTTGGACTCTGTTACAAAGTGGCATTGTCAGCTATTTCCCTGATCTTTCGAAATATTAACTAATCCTTTTTCCTTACATGTGCCGGATCGACTTGCTGTGCCTTCCAGTGCTTCCCGTCCTTATTTTGTATTTCCTGAATTTGCAGTTTTTCTTTTCATTTCTATAATTTAATGCCATGGGTGACAGGCTTCTCTTTGAACTAAATTCCTTGACATGAAAATGTGATAATCATTAGCAGAAAGAAATTGTCATGGCATCTCTCGAGGATATAATATGAGTGCAGTGTGGTTAAACTAGAGGAGTAAAATATGTTTGCGATAATTACAGTTTGGAGAGTGGGAAAAGTGATGCAGGTCATTAATAATGTTTTTTGTATTAACCGGATTCAAATATTAGCAACACACGTTTTGAAACTGGGAAGCAAGGAATAAGAGGACAGTCATACTGCACTTAACTTATAATAGGGCTGTGAAATATGTTAATAGATGAGGGTGCAAGTATGTTAAAGGGAAAGTATGTATATGGCCACTTGAACAAACAGATCAGCATGGTCAGCAGCATGTTAGGGATTTTCTGAACTCCATGATTGCCAGCTGGCAGCACTAACTTGAAATGCAACCCTTATAATTGGCAAATTTTGGGGCAGAGCAGTTAAGGTGAGAAATTAGCGGGTGGCCCTTGTCTGACTAAAGCAGCAGGAATATGTTTATTTTGGCCTTATCCTCTTCATGAATATTCTTTTGTTTTAATATATTTACACAGACTGCACCTGGAGTACATAAGAGGTTGTTTCGTAAAGTGAAGAACTTAATTGCTGCGTACCAGAAGGAAAACCAAGGCCTAGCAATACCTTTACTGTACCCTGTGTACAAGCAGAAAGGTATTTAAACTTTCTTTACATTTATCTGAACTGAATGTTCTGAAATGATGCTTTATTTTAAAAAAAATTTCCCTTTAATCATATTTTTGTTAAATTGACTTGTTCATCACATTGAAAATATTATTGAATCTCTTTTTTTAAAAACAAGAAACTCCAAAATTATAAAGCAAGTCTTATGATCTGCATAGTTAGTACAAAGAAATCACTAACTTTAGTCCACCTGATGAAGGGGCTACACTCTGAAAGTTTGTGATTTCAAATAAACCTGTTGTACTATAACCTGGTGTCGTGTGACTTCTGTCTTTAGCCCGTTAAACAATTGTACAGCTGATATGTCAATTTCTCCAGGATTTAATGCGTTGAATTCACCAACAATTTTACCAGCTGAAGTCATGATTATAACATCAAATTTTTATTTGTTTTACAGGTATTGAAATGGAAGAAGATTATCTCATGATGCAACCAGCTGAATGATAACATGTTCTTTCTCTAATTTCTGAAGTGATGTTGGATCGAACTTACTATAAATACTTTCTATTGAAATGGTCTGCCACAGTCAACCTGAATATGTCTTCTTTGATTCTTTGATGGTCTGACACTCTCAATATTCTAAATATTGTGTTTTTTTTCTAGAGTACCAGATGCTTAACTAGCAATTACTGTTCTTGATGTGTGCTTGAATCAAAAGTTCTGGCATATTTCAGTACTCAAGTTCTTGATGAAGCAGAAGGCTCTTAATATTTCATGTATTTATTTTTTTTTCCAAATTTGTTAGAGAATGGATCTCAGCAACTTCCATATCTATCTAAAAGTACTACTGACATTCAACTGGAAAAAGAAGCCAAAAAAAGTTTATTTCTTTACCACTTGAGTGATTTACTTTAAAAAGACTTTTTGTTGAGGCTGCATTACTGTTGGTTATTAATAATAGCACGTCAGTGAGAAAAAAATGAAAACAGATTTTCATTGTAAATATAGAGAGCCTGGTTTGTACAGGAGATGTCCTGTATTCTCATTGCTTTGAGAAATTGGTCCCTTGGGTTTTCATGCTCTCCCTCAGAGGTTATAGCAGGAGATTGAACGCCTCTGTAGAAGCTCGAGGCCAATATTTTGCTTGAAACTAGTGACAAACCAATTTCTTTCAATAACAACTGTATGTGGATGTGTAATGTATGCAAAAATACAGATAGCTGAACAAGCCTTGCTCAGCTCAACAACAGTAACATCACAGCATGACATTCTGGCTCTTAATTAGCAGTTAGAAGATTATTATATAGTCACATAATGTTTTGTACATGGATGCCACATCAACACTTAATTATAAGCAGTAATAATACATCAATATCAGTCTCATTTCCTAAATGATTTCTCCCTGAATTTGGTTAAGACCTGTTAGTAATCAGATGAAGTTATTTCATGCCCAAGAGCCAATTGGGAAAGTTGTGCATAATATTAAAAGAAAAAGATATGGCAAGTGGATTGAAGTGAAAGACAGGCTTGAGATATGAACATATGATTAGGAAAAAATGTTCTTGTTATCTACTGAAATGGATTGCTACTGAATCTTTTCTAAAGTTGTTTCTATGAAACATAAGATACATTACATGTTTTTGTTAATTGATTGAGCCAATGTCAAGCAATAATCGTGTTCCCTTCATCCTTTCTTTTCTCATATTTTCTGCTCCATCCAAGGTATGAAAACTATGCTATGTAACTCGATGCAATGAATTAATCAAATTATTTGATTAGGTGTTTGAAGATTTACCAACTTGTTTTGTTTTAACAATTTTCATCTGGAGCTGTTCAATTTTTACTCAGAAAGTTTCTAAACTGGTAATTTTTAAAAACATGGGAAGTGGAAAATTAAAAAGCAGAAGTTGCCTTTTGATTTCTACATTCTAATCATTTTATATTTGTATTTCACGGTTTTGCTACTTATGCCTTGATGCAGTGACATTGTGTATTATACATACAGTACCTTGTTCTTTTCTTGTGGACATCTTTGACATGATTGTCCTGCAGGCCATTGACCTACTTTGATCACCACTGTTCTGCACAGCCCAACTCTGTTTCTGTTTCCAGATCTGTCACTGATCTCATCTCGTCTGGAGATTTTCCCTCTAAATTTTCCCACCTTATAATACTCCAACTCTACACGGTCTTCTTCTACCTTCCCAAATTTACAAACAGGTCTGCCCTGATAGACCTATAGATTCAGTCTGTTTCTGTCTCTCTGAGCTTATTGCTTTCTATGTTGATTGTATGTTTTCTCAACTTGTCTAGTCTCATCTACATTTTTGATTCTTCTATTTTTCTAATAACATTGCAACAATTGCTAGTTTGCTGGCCCAAATTGCCTCCTCTTCAGTATGGGTGTCCAATCCTTCTATATCTCAGTTCCCCACTGGGACTGATGGAGGACTCTCCACTTCTGTCTCGAATGAAGTCGCTAACAGTAGCCATCCAACACCAACTGTTATCTCATTGATCAATCTCTTTTTTAACTTGACTCATTCCCTCCAAATAAATGAAGTGGGCATGGATATCTAATTAAGATAGTCTTTTTGTAGAGTTTATTAAACATTCCTTGTTAAACATTCTTTGTTATAGTTCAAGTCAGAACCCTCTCACAACTCTTTTACTGCTATATTGATTACTGTGTCAGCAATGCATCTTGTAACCCATATCCTACAAATAACAAAAACTTCAGGAAAAGGCCGTCTACTAATGTTCAATACAAACCCACCAATTCTGACAAGTTACCTTGACTACACTTTCTCAGACCTGGTTTCCTTTAAAGACTCTATTTCATTCTCCCAATTTCTCCACTTCTGTCATATCTTTTCGATCTTTTAAATGCAGTGCTTCCTCCATGCCTTCCTCTTACCCTTGAGCTCACTTTTTACCCTAATAAAGGATCGTCCTTTGCTTTTTCTGCCATATCCAGCACGATGTCACCACCAGGCACATTTTCCCCTTCCTTCTGCTTCAGCATTCAGCAAGGTCCATTCTGTCTATAAGATCCTGGTACACTCCACTGCCACCCAACAACTTATATGCCTCCAACCGATCCACATGGTACCTGCCCATGTGATCACAGGAGAAGTAACACATGCCCTTTTACCTCCACCCTCCTCCTCATTGTCCAAGGTCCCAAACATTCATTCAAGGTGAACCAGCAATTTACTTGTACTTTTTTCAGTCTGTTCTGCTGTACTCACTGCTCATAATGAAATATCTTATTGGGAGACCAAATATAGACTGAGTGATTGTTTTGCTGAACACCTCTGCTCAGTATGCAAACATGGCTCCAACCTTCCAGTCACACCATTTTGATACACCACCTTGCTCTCATGCTCACATTTCCATCGTAGGCCTGCTGCAGTTTTTCAGATGTTGGAACACTCCTCACTTTCCATTTAGGCTCTTCACAGCCGTCAGGACTCGACAGAAAGTTCCACAACTTCACATCATGAACTCCGTCCTGCATTTTATTTTCCCTGCCTTCCATGAAATAGCTGGTTTGCTTGGTTTTGCTTTCAGCGTAGCTAATCTATGTTCAAGTGTCAACATCTACTAGTAACACTTTGGACCTATCTCATCTTGACAACCAAACCCACTCCCATTGGCTTTTCCTCTGTGACACTTGTGCCTCTAAACTCCCTCATCTTCTATCCTTCCATGATCTTCTGTTCTGTTCCACTTGCTCCTCCCTGCCTTTAGAGTACAAAGCTCATCAATTTCCTGCCTTGGTCTTCAAATCTGAGGAAGAGTCGTATTGAACTTGATACATTAACACTGTTTCTCTCTCCAAAGACAAGTCTGCTAGGTGTCTGCAGCTCTTTCTGTTCTTATTTCTGATCTTGAGCATCCAAAATATTTTGCTTTTGTTTTGGTCTTTAATTCTCCACAGATCCACTTAGCAGTAACTGTAACTGGATAATGATGATGATAAGTGTAGCTTATTTTATTCCTTCCACTCTCTAACATGACAAGTTAAGACCAGCTGTGATGGGCAAACTGCTGTTGTGGTTCAAAACTACTAATTCAAGAATAACCATGAATCTAACCAGACGCTTCATGGTCTGTATGGCACATTCCTGTCCCTGAGCATTGTCTTCATCGTTAGACTAACTTGTTTCTTAAGTAATGGCCTGCAGTTCACTCCTGTCACTTTTGTCATCAAAATGACCAAAAATGTAAATGACAATGGATATGCATTATCTTTTGTTTTTATATCATAAAACTGAAGAATTTCTAAAAAGAATTTTGCAGGTTTTTTTAATGTAAAATATAAATAAAATTATATTTGATAATTTGTGTTACTGCATCATTTTTCAACTCTACTCCATTCTACATTTGTCTGATGTTTCTAATTGTGAACATCAGCGATTCAGCACAGAGGGGCTTAATCAATTCTGGTATCACACTGGCTAATATATTTGCATATAATTCCTTTGTGCTGTACTTCAATGAAATAGTTTCCCATTTTTAAATAGTTTACTGACTGCATTAAGATAACATTAAAAAAGATTAACATGCAGGTTCAGAGATAACAAAGTGTAGACCTGGATGAACACAGCAGGCCAAGCAGCATCATAGGAGCAGGAAGGCTGACGTTTCGGGCTAGACCCTTCTTCAGAAATGGGGGAGGGGAAGGGGGTTCTGAAATAAATAGGGAGAGAGGGGAAGGCGGATAGAAGATGGATAGAGGAGAGGATACGTGGAGAGGAGACAGAGGTCAAAGAGGCGGGGATGGAGCCAGTAAAGGTGAGTGTAGGTGGGGAGTTAGGGAGGAGATAGGTCAGTCCAGGGAGGACGGACAGGTCAAAGGGGCGGGATGAGGTTAGTAGGTAGAAGATGGGGGTGGGGCTTGACGTGGGAGGAGGGGATAGGTGGGAGGAAGGACAGGTTAGGGAGGCAGGGACAAGCTGGGCTGGTTTTGGGATGCAGTTGGGGGAGGGGAGATTTTGAAGCTTGTGAAATCCACATTGATACCATTGGGCTGCAGGGTTCCCAAGCGGAATATGAGTTGCTGTTCCTGCAACCTTTGGGTGGCATCGTTGTGGCACTGCAGGAGGACTTCACAAGCTTCAAAATGTCCCCTTCCCCTACCGCATCCCAAAACCAGCCCAGCTCGTCCCCGCCTCCCTAACCTGTCCTTCCTACCACCAATCCCCTCCTCCCACCCTAAGCCCCACTCCCATCTCCTACCTATTAACCTCATCCCGCCCCCTTGACCTGTCCATCCTCCCTGGACTGACCTAGCTCCTCCCTAACTCCCCACCTACACTCACCTTTACTGGCTCCATCCCCGCCTCTTTAACCTGCCTGTCTCCTCTCCACCTATCCTCTCCTCTATCCATCTTCTATCCACCTCCCCCTCTCTCCCTATTTATTTCAGAACCTCCTTCCCCTCCCCCATTTCTGAAGAAGGGTCTAGACCCAAAACGTCAGCCTTCCTGCTCCTCTAATGTTGCTTGGCCTGCTGTGTTCATCCAGCTTTACACCTTGTTATCTAACATGCAGGTTCAGTTGGAAATTAGGAAAATGCAATGTTAGCATTCATTTCAAGAGGGCTAGAATATAAGAGCAAGAGGTACTGCTGAGGCTGTATAAGGCTTTGGTCAGACACCATTTAGAATGTTGTGAACAGTTTCTAAGGAAGGACAGGCTTTGGACAGGCTTCAGGGGCGGTTTACAAGAATGATCTTGAGGATCAAGGGATTGCCATATGAAGAGGGGTTGAGGACTCTGGATCTGTACTCAATGGAGTTGAGAAGGATGAGGAGATATCTCATGGAAACTTACAGAATACTGATAGGCTTGGATAGAGTGGACCTGGAGAATATGTTTCCACTGGTAGGAGAGAATAGGACAGGAGGGCACAGCCTCAGTGTGAAGGATGAATCTTTAGAATAGAGATGAGGAGGAATTTCTTCATGTAGTGGGTGGTTGACGGCCAAATCATTGAGTTTATTTGAGACAGAGATGAATAGGTTCTTGATTAGTAAGGGGATCAAGGGCTACAGTAAGAAACGGGTGAATGAAGTTGAAAAACATATCAGCCATGATTGAATGACGAGCAGACTTGATGGGCTGAATGGCCTAATTCTCCTATATCTTATGGTCTTATGGCACACCACAGAATCAATGGAATTTTGTGACTTCATTCCAATTGTTAACTTTCTGGAGGTGGAAGCTCTGCCATAAATTGATCCAATGTGTAAGATTACCCTTAACTTGGACAAAGTCATGAGGGGTATGGATAGGGTGAACAGTCAAGGTCTGTTCCCCAGGATAGGGGAGTCCAAAACTAGAGGGTATAGTTTTAAGGCGAGAGGTGAAAGATTTGAAAGGGATGTAAGGGGCACATTTTCATGCAGAGGGTGGTGTATATAATCGTGTATAATGAACCGCCAGAGGAAGTGGTGGAGGCTGGTACAATTACAACATTTAAAATGCATCTGGATGGGTATCTGAATAAGAAGGGTTTAGAGGGATATGGAACAAATACTGGCAAATGATTAATTTAGATTACTTTAGGATGTCTGCTCAGCATGGATGAGTTGGACTGAAGTGTTTGTTTCTGTGCTGTACAGCTCTATGACTCTATAATTGGATAAGGGTTTTAGCACCCTGAGAGAAAGGGTAAAAGTCCTGTTGTATTGGAAACAGAAACAGAAACTTCCATTAGAAAGCAGTTTGATTCAAGGCCAGACTTAGTTAATTGATATCTCCAAAATAAAAACAATAGCATTACAGAAATACATTTGAAAGGCGTCCTATTATCAGTAAGGATGTTATGCTTCAGCTGCCCTTCAATGCAGCACATCGGTGAGACCACTTCTTGAATACACTGTGCAGTTTTGCTCTCCTTATTTAAGGAAGGATTTAAATGCACTGGAGACAATTTAGAGGAGGTTTACTAATTGCCTGCAATTATTGGCTGTCTTACAGGTTGGACAGGTTGGGCTTGTTTCCACTGGAATTTAGAAGAATAAGGGATGGCTTGAATGAAGTGTATAATATCATAGATAGTCTTGACAAGGTGGATGTGGAAAGTATGTGGTTGAGTCCAGAATTAGGGGTACTGATTTAAAGGTAGAGGTTGCCCTTCTAAGGCTGAAATGAGAAGTTTTTTTCTCTCAGAGGGTTGTGCAACTTTGGGATTTTCTGCATCAGAAAGTCATGGAGGTGGCTGTCATTTAATGTTTTTAAGGCAGAGATAGATTCCTGTCAGGCAAAGGAATTAAAATTGTCAGGGGTAGATTGGAATATGGAATTTGAAACACAAATAAATCAGCCATGATTTTATTGAATAGAGAGCAGGATGGTTGAGCTCCTATTCCATGTGCTCACATATTTGTATTGTGTTGTTGGGAAGCATTGAGTAGAAAGCTACAAATTGAATACTGGAATATAATGAGATTGATCTACATAAAGCAATTGTGCAACATGTGGGAGTTTTCATTCTTGCAAAGCACATACTATGAGAAACTTTGCAAAGATTTTAAAGATTCTGTGAAAAATTTTGGAAAGTGACAATATTTTCTGGATGCATAATTTCAAAACCTCATATGTTGATTGAAGATGTTGAGATCTAAATTCAAATTTGCAACTCAGCCAAATCCTTCTTAGGAAAACAATGATATACATGTGGGACAGTTTGCCAGTGCAGGTGGTCAGACAGGAAACTTCAGAGAACTTCAAAAGAAAGCAATCAAGCTGATGATATCAAAAGAGATTCCTGGTTATTTGGATCTATATTAAATATTCATAAACTATATCATGAAAGAAAGTGATTATTGAAGCAGATGGACCTGGTCTTTTGTGACCAGAAGTGTGTTATTACGTAAAATCCTTCATCAATTCAAATATTCAAAATTAACTTTGTCATCTTCTGATTTATATTGCACTGCTGTAGATGTACTGAATTACCAGCAGATCTTAACAAGTAAGGTTTGATTTTCACGTTAAAAAAAGGACTACTTTCCTTTTTCTAAAGATAATGACTGGTGGGCAAAATAGTGATTAGAATTTTTATAACCTTGTTTTAGGATTCAGAGACAATGTGTACATTTCAATCCAGAAACACTGGACTGCGTTCAAGGGAAATTTTAGAATGTTACCAATCTTAAACCTGTCCCAACTCACCTACGACTTGCCCCACTTCCAAGTAGAATGGAGGCAGGTTAAGGAGCAGATAGACAATCTCAAGAGGTAGGCTGGTGGCTTTGCACGTTTATCTGCGGCTGGCCTGATTTCTAAGACTGGGAGAATATTCAGCAAATGCAAGGTGAGGACAGCTAAATAGAAAAAAATAGTGCTGTTACAGCATTGGTTGGGGGTCAGATTGAACAGGACTGTTTTCACAACAACCTAAGCTTAACCTTTTCCTTCAATTTGAATCAGTCCCATCAGAATCTCCAGCAAAACTTAAGTTTTTTGGGGTCAGATATCAGATTCTATATGGCCTTTCGCAGCTGCAGTCTCATTACCTAGGCTATGGCCTGCTCTAGAGTGCTTCCTACCTGATTGGAAGTCAAATTTTTTAACCAAGCTGTCACCTGGGCTGATGTGTTGAATATCAGCCAAGAAAGCAGATGCCACCCTCATCTGTTCATATAAGTTATCCCTGTCAAGAATGAAAACACTGATGTGTCAGATTTTTATTTTGTGAAATTCCTATTGAGATTAAGCTTTTAATGACTGCCACTGATCAATCTTTTTGTTTTAAATTGAACCATGAACAATCTTTGCTTTTTTTATACTTGCCCTTCCCCAATAATCCTAAGGAAGGTCTTGTGACACAGTGGAAGTTTTTTCAGTACATTAAATTCAAGAGGATAACCATAGAAAGGGTTGGGCCTATCAGACATGTACATGGATGCAGGACATCTGGACAGAGTTCTCAATGACTGTTTGTCTTTACAACGGAGAGGGATAATGTAAATATTCTAGTTAAATAGGAAAATCGTGAAATATTTAATAAAGTAAACATAATGAGAAGGGAAGTGCTACAGGGACTGACTTCCTTGGAACTGAAAGAATAATCAGGGCTAGATGAATTTTATCCCAGGCTGTTAAATGAAGCCAGGGAGGAAATAATAGCTGCTTAGAGGTTCATTTTTTTAATCCTAATAGACACAGGTGAGGTAGCAGAGGATTGCAAGTCTGCAAATGTAATACCATTATTCAAAATCAGGTCAAAGAATAGGCCAAATAATTATAGGTCAGTCAGTCTGAACTCAATGGTGGGCAAATTACCAGAATATGTATTGAAAGATAAGACTAACTGTTACTTGGAGAGGCA